AATGGGAAAGTATTTATTTTCAAATATTTATTTTTCCTAGGGAGTTTCAGAAAATATTCCAAAATGCATTTGAAAATGGCTGTAGAAAACTAATTCCCATGAGATGCATTTGTGTGACAGGAAAGAGAAAAACAGCTCCAATTGTATTAGGTTTGGGGTTTTTGTGTTGCATCTTTCAGGACATGCCTAAACGTTCTTGTTTGTTATGTAAATACAACTTGCACCAGCTTTCAGTAGAATAAGAAGAAATTATAAAAGGGGATGCAGTAAGCAGAGGATGCAGTTGCCAAATATGAAAAGGGCAAAACTAGCTGAGAGGGAGGGAGGGAGGGACCTTCAGGTTTTGTGTTTCTCGCAGCCTTTCAGAAACCAGCAGTGAACTGTTTGCCCCAGCGCGGCAGCAACGTGCGTAAATCGTTGTGAACACAGCCCGGCTGTGCTCGAGAGGGCGGCTGGATTGCTGTATCCTCCCGAAGATGCTGAACCCCTCGGGTTAGTTGTACCTCAGTTGCTGGCTTGTAGTATGTAGCCATCAGGTTAAACCTTTGGATTGCAACCCTGGGGGAGAGTTTGATGGATGTTTTCTCTGATCTCTTCCCTAGCCAGCGAACCTCACCCAGGAAATCGTGTTGGCAATTTCTGCTTGAGGGGCACCCAGTTATCTTGGTTCATGGGACAGAAAACGCATGATATCTCTTAAAAAGTATTTTCAGTTGTCGAGTATAGCGGGTCGTAGGCTGGATAGTTAGGTGCCAAAAGGAAAAAATGAGAGAAAAGGTAGCTTGGTAGCGATGGCAAGTAGTCTTGTTTGCAATCAAAGCTGCTCTTGTATAGGAAAGCACTAGTCAGAGTCAGCTGGAAAAGCAGTCTCCCATGTCTGGGAGCACCCAGGAGGAGGGGAGCAGAGCAGAAGGTGAGATGACCCGTGTGCTGGATTTTCCCAGTGGCAGATACCAAACACTGGTCTTGGGCCAATGGTGCACTTGTCATGTTAAGCCAGGAAAGGGGAAAATAAGGAAATGGAGGAGAAAAGGAAAAAAAAAAAAACCAAACAGACAGATCTTTATTTACTTAAGATTTTGTCTGTGAGCAAATCCTTCCCATGATTTTCCTTCCATCAAGCAAAATTCCTCCTTTACATAAAGGCTAGGAAATAAAAGGAAGAAGGGAAGAAACTAGCCGTTTCTTTTTCTTGCTAGTCAATGTGCTGGGAGTAGAGAGAGGTTCCTCTGGGAGTTGCGATTACTCCCCTGTGGATGCTGAAAACGGTGGGTTTTTATAGCTGCAGCTCTACTCTAAATGATGGCAAAACTTAGGCTTCTGATATTAGTGCCAGTTCTCTAGATAGAGCAGGGGAGAAAAAGAGATCGCTTTGGGGTGTTTCTGGGAGAGAACTGTTTCCTTAACTTGCAGTTGACTTTCTTAGGAGCGCTGGGAAAATACCTCTCCCAGGGTTGTGCTTCATGGAATTGAAATCTGCAGTATCTCATGAATGTTTTGGAGTAGGAGTAAAAACTGAGTCTTACCCCAAAAATTATCTCCAAACTCCTGATGTGGCAACACATGGTGAAAACCAGTAGTAAAAATAAAATAATAAAGATTACCCATTTCTAGTTGTAATAGCGTTGATGATTTTTAAAGGTTACTGCTTGTCTGTGGGCAAAGATTGGATTCTGAAGTACTAGCTGAAGACTCCTTCTGTTAAAGTGCTACTGCAATGCTGCTTTTCCCCAAGTTAAAAATTCACAGTTTATTGGCAGCCTGAGTTAATCTGGAGGTTTGATCTCTGTCCTGTGCTGGAGGATTTAGGTAATTTTGCACAGGTTGCAGTCTCTTTGTGGTTTTGCTTGGATTTGAGAATCATTTATATGTAAATGATCCTGATCTCTTGTTCTTTCCCTTCTTACCAATCAACTTTGTTTTAAAGCACAGGGTTGTGTGAGGAAAATCTGCAAGCGGTGCTGCCGGGGGCTGGTGAAACTGGGTGGTGTTAGCATGGCGATGGTGGTCGCCGGAGCTCATTACCAAACTGACTCGTTGAATAATCAGACCTTTGAACTGAGTTTAGTGGTATCCCATCCATCTCACTCTGTTAGGCCACTTCGGGACGGCTCTTTTATGTCGTCTTGTAATTTATCCTGTGTAAATGGCGGAGGTGTTTGTTTTTAAAAGCAGCAAGAAAGCCCAGCTGAACAAGAAAAAAGTTGGAAGAACAAGCCTTCAAAGAAATCTCGGCACTAGTGCCAAGGGGTTTACGAAAGATAAACCAACTCTTTTTTTTTTTTTTTCTTATGGCTAAAGGAAAATACCATTAAATCCCTTGTGCCTAGCTGATACAGTAAACTTGCCAGAGCTATTTCAAAAACAACATGCCTCGGGATATTCAATGATTGTCAATGAAAAGCAGGCTCAAAATGCAGCACCCCTGCGTGCGGATCAAGGGGAGCCTCCTGGGTGCTCAGTAGAGGTTCCTATACGCTCACTACGGACTGTGAGAATGATTTCAAGGGGAATTTGCCAGTTCTGGCTTTGAAACTGCATCTTCTATATTTACTCGGTACCTCTGCGCCTGTAGTGCATGGTGTAGGTCGTTTTGCAAATGGAAAATAACTCGTTATTGCACGAGTAGATGGGAAAATCGCTGCCGGTTGTTATCTACTGGGCTAATCGTTACTATAAAGAGATAAAATACATACTCATGGCAAGACCTGCTAGTAAAAACAATAATATTTGACAAAGTTCTCTACAAATTTTAATCTTCCTTCTAACGTCAGATGGAGATCGTGTGCCACTTGGTGATGTAGCACAGCTTTGAGCAGAACCTAGACAAAATCTGCCAATGTCTGTGGGATTTTGCTTTGTGTTTTTTGGAGTTCATTCAAAGCCAGGGAGTGGGAGGACGGTGGCATGGGAAGGCTGGAAAATCTGAGGGAGAGACCTGATTTCAGATTTGTGTCTTGGTGCTCAGGTGGTTTGGTGCCTATTGGGCTATTGCTCGCCTTTCTGGAGGATGGGAGAGAAAGTAATCCAGTTTTTCGAGGAACGGTAGAGCTGGGATTTTTAAATGGAATGTTTTCTTGGAACAAAAATTCTGATCGCTCAGAAAATTATGTTTATGATGCTGCTGTGTTTTAGTTTGAGGAGAGGTTGTCTCAGGCTTAGGGTAAAATTACCTAAAACCAGAACAAGTGTGTGCTTCTACTGCCACTTTATTGATTACGCTGGGGCAGGAGAATTGCTCGCAGTGCCATGGGCTTCAATTACTTAAATTACAGAAAAACCTTTCAGGATGGAAAAACTCTTATTTTATACTAAAGGCAGGAGTCTCTATTCTTGAAATAGGTTGACTTGAATGAACTCCAGTGACAGCAATATCATTATACATTAATAACTAATATTGCACTAATGCTGAGCGTGGTCTGCTTCACCAGACCTAGAAGAGAGCTCCGCTCTCAGGAGCTTGCAGTCCAAGCCTGCTCACACAGTTAAGAGGTTGTTCCTTGGGGCAGCAAGGTGATGCTTGCATTTCATTTTCGTTTCTGCCTAAGCTGGAGTTCACACTTGAATGTCGAAACTCCCATTCGTGTTGCTGGATGTGGAGCAGCTGTGACTCTGAAGGATTTCTGGATGGCGGAAGAGGTGGGGTGTCAGGGAGATGTTGTGGTGTGGGAAGGAAAGAGAGACTGGTGGCAGATAAGGAGGGTGCCTGTTCAAGTGGCCTCCTTACCTGTCTTCCCGGACAGCCCCTGTGTTTCCCCAGGTAGGAACTGAGGGGCAGTCGTGGTTATCTGGCATTTAACTGGAGTCAAAGCGTTATGTCAAGAGAAGCAGGTAGGTGGTTATCTTTGGGAGAGGCAGAGGAGCTGGGAGAAGCAGTGGTGTGTGTCAGGGACAGCAAGGGCGATGGAGGAGCCATTGGAGGCAGTCTGCCTCAGTTTCCCCACCTGAGATAGTGCAGCTATTGCGGAATGTGGGATGGGTTAGTGCATTTCCCAACCTCTTTCTGTTCCAGGTTCCCAACCTCTTTTTCCAGGTTCCTAACATCTTGCTGCTCAACTGCCCGTTGCAGGTTTTAAATGAAATAGCCTGTTGAGGGGCCGAGCACTGCAGCTGGGATGAAGCAGCAAGGCACGAACCTGGGAGAAAATGAACAGCTTGCCCTGGAGAACAGCCCTGGGTTCATCCCTCTGTTCACTGCTGTTTGGGGATGGATTTGTGGCTTTCCTTTTTTTTTTTTATTACACCATGGAAAATGTTTTTCTCTCCAAACCAGCTGGGTCTTCAGCAACACTAAAAAATTAAAAGCACTTCTGTGCTAGGTGTTCCCTAAAAGATGGAAAAGAAGATTTTTACATTAAAATGCCAGGAAGAAAAATGGGGAGGGCATAAAAGCACTGCTTTCTTTTCATCAGATGCTAGTGCTTTTGGAAAATCGTTTGTGCTCCAGCGATCATTACCCCCCTGTGTGCTTCTCTCGCTGCCTGCTCCAGCGTCTCTCCGAGAGGTGGCTCTGCAGCAAGGCCACCTTCTTAGGCAGGGGACATAGCCTTGAGTTCCTTTTTTCCTTCCTCTGTTTAACCAGCTCTGCCTCTTGTTTCAGGAGTATCGACGTCGGGAGCGCTGGGCGCGGGGAGCACCGCTGCCAGCACCACGCCGCGGGCAGCCACCAGCAGCACCGGCCGCCCCACCACCACCTCGGCCTCGGGCAGGAGGAACAGGAGCACCAGCACACCATCGCCCATGGCTGACGTCCCTGATGAAATGACCACGCACCTCCCTCCCGCCTCTTCCCAACTGCCCCCAGCCGGTGCAGAGAGCTGCGACCCTGTGGAAGCCCGGGATATTATGTGGTCTCGGACCCGGCAGGGGCAGGTGGCGAAGCAGCCGTTGCCCATGGGCTCCATAGGTGAGTTGAGCAGTGGGGGGATCATAGAATCGTAGAATGGTTTGGGTTGGAAGGGACTTTGAGATCCTCTAGTTCAACCCCCCTGCCATGGGCAGGGACACCTCCCACCAGCCCAGGTTGCTCAAAGCCTCATCCAGCCTGGCCTTGAACCCCTCCAGGGATGGGGCATCCACAGCTTCTCTGGGCAACCTGGGCCACTGCCTCACCCCCCTCAGGGTAAAGAATTTCTTCCTAATGCTGCAAGACATCTCCGTTTGCCCATGGGACACATTGTGAACATGCAGCCAGGTTGGTCATGGACCCCTATGGCATACAGGCTTCAGTATGTTGAGCCTCAATATGTTAAGCACGTTGTGCAGGATCTTTGGCATCCTGAGGTCTGGGCAAAGGAGAGTACAAGCTTCAGAGTGTTGTGGGGTTGAGCTTGACTTGTTATAAGAGCCTCTGCCTCCAGAAGTGGTGCCCAGTGTGCCTGTTATCCCTGGTTTTACCTGTATCTGTAGCCTTTGGGCTCATTGACCGATGGGTTGATGACTGACGCTTCGCTTGTTTAAAGGGGGAGAGAAAAAAGAAAATCAACAAAACTTACATGTTGAGGAAGCTCTGTGCTGCACTCTTTGCATTTCAAAGGCCATGGGCAGCATTTCCAAGCACAGGTATTCCCAGATCGCACTCCTGAACCAGCATGAGTGTTTTTTTCAAACTGCAGCCAGCATCCGGTGTGATAAGCAGGGGAGGAAACAAAGCCAAATCTTTCAAAATGGTTTATTGTTTATTGGGTTTTGCTGCTTTTCTTAATTCCCCTCAGTTGTTTTCTTCGAAAAGGTTGCTCTTGGAAATTTTCTATCCCAATTAAAACACGGATGGACGAATAATGGGTCTTGGCATATGGTTTAGTTTGCTGTGTTTTAACAAAATGCAGTTTTCCAAAAGTATTTATTTTTCAAGCTAGTCTTAGTGTCCAGCCCCAAGAACCAGCTTGCCAAGAAATCAGAAGAGGGAGGAAATTGTCTGAAAATGAGGGCTGGAGGGATCTGACTTGCAGAGGAGACTCTCTATTAATTCTCCGCTCCATTGCCCTGGAGAGCCATTCACACCTGTGTGTAGGAATACGGACTCTCTCTTGAATTTGGTGAGGTCAGGCTGATAAAAATTACGTTAAAGTACAAGGGGCATAGAAAGACATCAGTGGTGAGAAGAGATAGAGAATATTTTTTCTGGCTTTCCCAGCCCCACTTGGCAAAATTAGTGCAAAAAGTCTCATATAGTTCTGAGAGAGAGGATAGGATAGGCTGAACTGAAGCTGTGAAAAAGGAGAGAAAAGATAAAAAATGAAAATGAAGGCTGGAGGCAGGGAGCCCTTTTCTAAGCACAAGAGCTAAGGACTGGATGGAAACAGCTGAGAGGAAAAAAAAAAATAACCCAGCTTGTTTATAGGGGAGGGCAAGAAGCCTTTCCCATCTCTAATTTCAGTGGTTCATGCAATTTGTTAAAAGCTGTGGTAGATTAGCAGTGGGCCTCTTCCAACTCTCTTTGAAGGCATGAGCAAACTCTCCCTGGTTTTAATGGGTGCTACCATCGTGCCTAGCCTGTCATTCACTGCTCTGCTGAAAAGTTTGGCTCTGCAGGGCAGAGCGCGCTTTCTAGGATTTTCAGTGCATCTTAACCCATACTGGCTTTCTTGCTCTTTAAAAGGTCTTTAACTGCAGCATTTTGGACGCACTTCTCTTTGTCTGGAAGCCTGTGAGATGGGGTCCTGCAGGCAAAATGCAACCGATAACACTAATGCAGCGGCTTTCCTCTTCCAGGTGTTGCAACGTTCCGCTGTCTTGCTCCAGATGGGATCTGGGAGCCCCAAGGACCTGACCTCAGCAACTGCTCTTCTCCCTGGATCAACCACATCACTCAGAAGGTAAAACCCTTCCTGTGGGTTGATCCTGCCGAGTCCGCGCACTGACCTTCATCCACTCCCCGGTAGTTGTCACAGCAGGGACCTCAAAGTGACCCATCATCACATGTAAAGCATGAGCCATCCATAGTAGCCAGGAACTGCAAGGAGAAAGAAGGAATGTAAAAGTCTGGTGGAAATGAAGGCAGAGATGGTGAGGGAAATGCAAAGGAGAGGGACTGGAGAGTGGAATTAAACTAGAGTGAATGACTGTTCTTGTTTGTGGCCAGAAAAGGAGGAAGAAGGAGGAGGAGGTGGGTGGACATATGGAAAATACTGACTTATTGCAAAGGAAACTTTCCCTTTCATGCATCCCCAAGGATTTTCTCAGGCCGTGCAAGCAGCGGATAAATCCCAGAGTTGAGAAATCTTTACCAAAGAAAGGCAGGCTCAATATGAAATGTTTGCATTGCGTTTCTGACTTTCTGTTTTTAACTTCTGCCCAAATGGTAAAAGGACCAACGGAGTAGAAAACGACGACGCAGTAACGCCGTATCTTTTGACTCTTAAGTCCCTTGATGAATGTTTTGTAGCACTTCATCATTTATCAGTGTTAAAAGTGCATTAACATGTGACAATAGAAGTTCGAGACAAGCAGAGCTTATTTGGTAGCAATATGCTGAGTGTTTTTGTTATGAATGCACAGTGGTGCTTTCAGCTGATTTCATTACAAACAGAGACCAGATGTGTGTTTACGCCACAGAGCCTGTGGGCTGAAGCTTTATTATAGCAATTTGTGCGGATTTATTCACGCCTTTAGCCGGAGCGAGCGAGCCCTGGAGTTGCAGGCTAGCTGTCCTTCTGTGCTACAGAAACTGTGCTCCCAGAGAGCTGGTGAATGGGATGGGGTGACCCTACAGATGAGACCCTTTGTCTTTCTTCTCTCTGTCTCCCATCTTAACTGAGGCTCAACAACCTGTGAATCACTCACACGTACATCCCCCATCATCCCTATCCCACTCCATCTGTATTTATACCCGTCCCTCCCCAAAGGTGGGGGAAGACATCAATTAACGGGGGGCTGCTGGGACACAGCGATGCCCGTGGTCCTTCTGTCCCAGGCAGGAGGGTGGGCAGCTCTCCTGCCATACACCAAGGCTAGCTGATTAATAAAGACTGCCTGTGCTGCCATTAACAGCTGTGTAGCTCTTGTTTTATGACCCACATACTTATCCTGGAGGGGTTAATATTACTTACTCCAGCCATAATTCACCCAGGCAGCTGGGAGACCTCTTGCTGCTAGGTGAAGATGGCTAGGCCGTTAGCCGTTAGCAGAGGAAATAATAGCCTGCACTGATGAAACCTCCATCAAGGTTAGGCTTATTTTATTTGAAACCTCAGCTATCATTTGCGTAACAAATGAGCCCCATTTAATTTGTTACGTGCTTTCAAAGCAGGCTCCAATTGAAAAGCTAGGTTTTCAGAAATGCCCAGCAGGACACAATTGGGACTGGATTTTTTTTTTTTTTTATCATTATTATCTTTTTTTTCTGGAGGAATTTAGTTATGTTCAGCTTTGGAAACTTTCTACCAGTCAGTGGAAAGACTAGGAGGGAGTCTGACAAATGATGTTGGATGTCAACTTTTGATGCCTGAGTGGGAATCTGCTGGGATCTTGGGACCATGGGGCCCAGCCACTATGGAGAGCTGTTTCGAAATACCAAACCCTTCCAGGAGCCACTTGTGAGAGGAAAGCCCTTCCAGGCTTGCCTAGGGGCTTGTGTCGGGGGT